CCCCAAAACCCCAAAACCCCAACATAATGAAAATGATATTGAATGTTAGCAAAAATGTTTGAAAATAATAGATATAACTTCAAAATCCTTCTAGTTCATATCTTCTGATGACTTTATTCTAGACTGGAAGGAATAGTTTATTGCCTACAAGTTTAAAATCAAATATAAAGTGCCCTTTATCGAATTTTTCATTAACTTAGAACTATAATTTGTCTTTCCTATACACGCTTATCTCATTTTATTCTACCTCCTCGTTAAATGCAGAGACAATAAAGTGATCTTTTTATCTTGAAGGTATTACTATTCCATTTATAACTTATCCATTTGCACCGAAATGGTACTCCTGCTCTCCATCTTAGGAAATTATATGAATAGTGGTATCATAGCTGAGAGTGACAAACGACAGTAAACTTGTAAAATCTGTTAGGGGTAAAACCTAAGTGATAGTACTCTCATGAATATTTTCAAGATGTACGATTAATTCTTGCTTGCCCTATTTGCCATTTATTTTGAGAATTATAAAGTGAAAGTCCTCAGTTGCAATAGCTAGAAAACCATCTACTAAGACTGTTGAATTCCTATTACTGCTACCTCTAACTTCATAATCACTATCTTCTTCTTTCATTTCAGTATAACACATAGCTGAAACTTTTACTTAATCAGTTTAGTAAAATTAAAGCTTTTTGCTGGAAATGTAAACCTTGGATTCTTTTTCTGGGTCAATAAATGCTTTTCCAACTTTATTTGCTTTAGCTATAAAGAATGAAGGCTCTTCAAAAGATGCACATATAGAATCAGCCTAAATCTTCATCTGCTTCATGAACTAGATTTAAACTTTGTATTAGTAATCCAATTAGAATATGTTAACTGTAGTTTCAGTAGAGACGACAATATACCTCTAATTTGGAATAACAGATATAAGGCTGATAACTTATCTAATATTTTCCAAATTTGAAGGCCTTTGCTTGATTTGAATATCTTAAGATTAGCCTTTGTTATTTTTATTCTCAAAAGTGAACAGGATAAATTCCGCTTTTTCTATAGAAATGCCTAATGCTTATGATTCTGTCAAGCCAACAACAAATCCAATGCAATCGCTATTTGGGTCAGTTTCTTAATTCTAGGATATAGAACTTTAATCACATCCAAATTCATCATGTAGTTATGACTAACTCATTCTACTCTAATTGTTTATAGATCTTTCGGAATTTCTTTCACTCTTGACAAAAGAAATGGGAATATCATGTTCATTAACTTTATTTCTGGCACTCAATTAGCTCATTTGATACTATGAATCTGCTTTTTTAATTTATGAACTCTTTAGATTACTTTTAATTCCTTAACTATTTCGTGGTCTAAATGATTTGGCAGAAGATTTTTAACTCTAATCATCTATATTAAGCTTTCCAGTCTTGAACTAGGGCTACTATTTGTTTTGCTAGGTGTATGTTTGCTTTTCCAGCTCCTTGAGCATATTAGCATCTAATTTTCCAATGCCAGGCTAATCTTATGATATAACTTTAATCCTGTAACTTTAAGCCATATCAAAACTTGATTCAGTTTGATTATGTCTAGAGGCTACCTCGCTCTCCTATAAAGATTCCAAATCATCAAAGCCCTAGGCATTTTTTACGCTCTTTTAATTAGTATTATATCCGCTAGCAACTGGCTTTTCACTCTACTTTTTGGATTTTTAATACTGACTGATTTTTTGCTAGCTTTAATCCATGTATTAAGAATTTTAGTCAAGTTAAGAAGGCCTTCTTGAAGATTAATACCCTGAATGGCGAGAAGAGGGTAAATTATCAAATGAAGGTACTTGCGATATTTAATGTGTATCATCTTCTTCAGGTAGATCAAAATGTAGTTCCTCAGGCTCATTCTGTGTCTTTTTGCTTACTTTCAACTTATGATTTTATGAGCTCTAATTTGATAATGGCTGACTTTTAAGATCCTTGAGATTTGAACTTTGCAATGAAGTTTAATCTTTTTTATTTGAACTATAACCATAATCACCACCATAATCACCTGGTGATAGCTCTTGTATTTAGAAGTCTTAAGATTTATCCTCTGATTTATAGTTTTAAATTTCGAACTTCTAAGATTCCTTCAACTATGATTAGTATTTTAGCGAGGATACTCCAAGTTTTTATGATTCTATTTCAATTTTATTTGCATTAGTATTATTTGAAAGCAAATCCTCTGCTTTCTTCTATTTCTAATTTTATATCTATGACTAAAACATAGATTAGGAGTGTTGCTGTAATTAAGTATCATCTTCACTACAATACTCATCGTCTTCAACAATACCCTCTTCGACCTCATGATCATAGAGATTCGACTATAGCTATTTCTGTCTTTTACCACTATCAGAGCCAATTTACTAATTATTTGGTTTTTAATTCAGCATCAGACCTTTGATTCTATCTATAAAATCCTCAATCTAAATTCTTTGCTATGGATCTTCAATTAGCACTTCAGAAGAAATTAAATCATTATAATCATCATTAGAGTACTTCAAGTAGTTTTGCAGAATAATGCTTCTTCTAATAACACCAATAAGTCCATGCTAGCCTTTTTATCTTGGATTAGGTAAAAATGGCCATTTTTCTATCTTAATATAATAGAGTAAGCATCCAAGCTACCAAACCAAACTCTGCTTTGTACAAATACCCCTTTAAAGCTATTCAGGTGACTACTAAGATAAGTACCAACTACCTTTACCGTTTAATTCCGTAGAAATTTGATTTAAAGGAATGAAAAAATCAGTTAAAATAATTTGAACGTTGCCTGATCTGACTATACTCTCAGGGTGCAAATTTATTAAAATTGGAGAAATCTAACTTGCTTTAAGCTAACTGATATGCTCTAGTAAGTCATGGAAAAATTCAATTTTATCTTCTATTGAAGTTAATTCCGATAATTTTATTCCGCTATGCAATCTTTTATTATAGAGGATCGTAGACTTTATGTGCAAAATGTTTCTTTATTAGACTTCAGAGGGGTCTATTTCAAATTAGTATTACAGTCCATATGTCTCGTAATACTACTTAATATTTCTTAGAGTATCTTTAAACTGATTATTCATAGCATCATAGTCCTTTTTGCATATCTTAATCTGATATTGAGTTATTCTTTTTGCTTTAGACTCTTGAAAAGTTATGTAATTTATTTCCTCCTAATTTTATTAAGACTTCATTTTTATTTGATTAAAGGATTATAAATTTTGAATTTAAATTGAAGATTATAAAAATTAATATTAAATATGCGGAGGTTAGGGAAGGTAAGTGTCTCTCTCCAAATAATTCAAGGATGATTTTCAACTTTTAAAGTTGGAATTACCGACTGAAAATTCACAATGTTGACAAAGCTCGGCACCAGTCTGAACCATTTATACCATTATAATCTCTCATATTCGTTATTTACCCTATCTCGTAGTGCCTGCGATTCCAACCGCACAAAGATAGATCCTTACACTTCCCCCACCTACTTAACCGCCTCCCACTTTGAGATGAAAATTCTCGAACACTCAACCAAATGAAAAGTTTGAATATAAAAGGTTAGTATCTTTCTTATTATATATATGAACGATGAATCAATGGATCACTGGGCTATGAATTAGTTTATGATTAGAGAAATTCATTTCTTCACTTTCTGAAATTTCCATCTAGTACTTAGTACAAAGATATTCTAATAGTATTAAATAGGTCTATTAAATTAAATTTTGATCACAAGAAATTTTTAATTTACTTGGACTTGGTCATCAACTATTAAGTGGATGCTTCATAACTATAAGGTAAGTAATCACTTTACCATATCCCTTCAATGATGCAAAACTGTTACGGGCGGTATTAGACTTCGCATAATCCAACAAAGCGATTTCTCAATGATTATTTAACTGCAAGCTGATTTTTCAATTAAAACCCCTTTTAATTTCATTTTCTTAAACCCATTTAGGTAAGTTAAAACACTTAACACATAAACAACTCCTGATTCCATGTCAAAATTTGACTTGGTTTCCTTGAGAGTTGAAATGGGTTTCTCAACAAGATTTAACGATGAGAAAAGATGACGAGAATGACAGAGGTGGGAGCCCTACCTTTCTTTGTTTTAAAGATTGGAACTTGGGGTGAACACTTCGACATCCGTGATTTTAACCGAGGCATTTGGCTGACTTGTTGAAAAATTCAATTTTTTCAAAATTTTCAAGACCTTAACAAATTGTTTAGAGATGAAATTAAATCTACTCTGAATATTTTGAAGACTCCCTTATCATTTCTAATGACAAAAATTAAGGTAAGGACATTTTCTAAGAATCTGTTTTGGTTGAATGGCTGTGATGATATACATTGTCGCCCCAGTCCTATTCATATATGAGGATTGACACTTGTGTCTGAACATTCAACAAAACATACTTTCTTATTGAATAGTAATTAAATGTTTTAGGTAAGTTTGATAACTCATTTCAAACATATACGATAATGATGCATACTTAATTGCTACTTATGATTGACCCGAAAGGGCCGCGTGAGCGATTTCCACCAAGATCTCTGACCTTTAAACATTTTCAAATGCATTTCCTAATCATTCAAATAGCATGTACTCCTCAAAATGACTAATAAGTTCAAACTTAAAATTGTGCTAAAAATTTCTCTTATGGTAAGTTGTCTCTTCAAATTGAACTTTTATGATGAGAAATCTACGTGAATCTATATGATTTTCAATGATTATTTACTCTTTCGCTCCTATCTGACCTTTAAAAAGTTTCTATTTTCCAGTTTACTTATTCCTTTTTAATAGGTAAGTCTCTTCCCCATTCATAAGAGGAGAGATATAAAGATGATACGCATATCATTATCTCTGATAAATGATGAGAATGCACTTCGCTGTCTGACGTTTTATCTCTCCAGAGATTTTCAGACATTCTTAATGGTAAGTCAAAAACTTTAAACAAAACTTTCTATGATGACAATTATTGGAGCTGGCAATGGAATATGTCCGAAAGGATATGTATGTTGATACTCTCAATACGCAATATACAACTCTGATCCTTTATTAATCAATATATTTTAAATTGACTCTAAACTCAACTGTAGGATTATTAATTTCTCATAGAGAAAATTTTTGTTCAGAAACTAAAATCCTTGGAAAGCCTCCAAATATTTTAAAAAGGTAAGTTAAGAACCTAATATTTTCAAAAATATAACGATGATCAACGGTTCCGACTACTGAACACCCTATAGTGGGCGTCAAACCCTGCTATAAAGGATGGTCATGTGGAAGAACATCCATACTTCCAAAAATCTGACTTCTAACAAGAATTTTTCTTTCAGATGATTAATCCCTTTTTTAGCTTCAAATTTGATAAGTAATAAGCAAACACCTAGCATGTTATTCTTTCTCATTCAGTTAGATCGATTCAAATTCATTAAAATCCTACTCAAATATTCCAAAGGTAAGTGAATCCCCTATAAAATGAGAAAGTGCTCTTCAATGATGAGGTTATTAGGACTAGAGTTACTGCAATTTGAATATAAAAATATTCATTGATGATAATCTCTAATACTGACTAAAAGCTATCTTCATATTTATACCAAAAATATTCTCTATAAACATGAGATTCTTATTAACTTTTCAATAGATTTCAAATCCTTCCTAAAATGCTATTAGTATTACAAATCTTTCACTTTGTAACATTAGTATCATAAGATTTCAAACTCTATAATTATGGTAAGTAAAAAGACCAAACTAACTAAATGACTCTGGGGGATAAAATGTAGATCATGATGATAATGCTAACTGACACCTCTTGATTGAGACTTAGTCAATGATCGGAAATTAGCAAACTACAAGAGATTTCTGAAGATCTACATCCCCAGATGTCTAAACATCTCTACATATCATTTGATATTAATCTCACTTATAGTATTCAAAGCTGATAGCCTATCACAAACCATCCTTTATATACATAATTTAGACTAAGATTTCTATTCATTTCTCTCTATATACTTTTTAATTTACATTCTTGGGGTTTTGGGGTTTTGGGGTTTTGGGG